ACCATCATCAGCATCAGCATTATGATCATGATCATTATGATCATCATCATCGTCACATCAGTATCATCGCCATCAACTTCATCACCATCAAACTCGAAAACCTCATCATCGTCGTCAGTTACATGATCATAAACAGCATCCTCATCGGAATCATCAGCATCATCATAATGATCACCACCATCTACGCCACATCGACGCTAGCATCACAATCATATTCATCATCAACAACATCAGTTCGACATGAACAGCGTCATGATGCATAAGCACCATCATCACATCGACGCCATCTCCAGCAGCACAATCATCATACTCAGCATCGTCATCATCGTCCCAGCCACCATCATCATCATCATCATCATCATCAGCAGCAGCATCATCATCATCACCATCATCATCATCGTCGCCGTCTTCGTCGTCATCATCATGAGAAGCAGCAGCATCAGCATCGCCACCACCATCAACATCGTCCCGTGCCTTTCCATCATCCGCATCATTAACAGAATCATCATCATGGTAAAAGGGGGAGTGCGCGGATGGAGGCAGCCCAGATTGGGCCAGAGCCCTCAGGCGGGGCCGCCGGATCTCGCACCCATCACATCGCCGAGATCGGGATAGAGACCTGCGGGCTCTGGATCGCGCCGCATCGGAGATGCATCGCCGACCATCGGTGGGCATCGGCGATGCATCGGCGATGCATCGGCGCCGCATCGGCGATGCGTCGGCGATCATCGGCGGCCATCGGCGATGCATCGGCGATCGTCAGCGCCGCATCGCGATGCATTGCTGATCTGGAGATACAAAGATGTACCGATATCGCTACTCCCCGGATCTCTCCTGGGGTGCGTCCTGACCAAGATTTCGAGCGAATCAAGCGGTGGCTACGAGGGCCTCCCAGGAGGCCCAAAAAGGCGAAAACGAGGCAGGGGGCAGCGGTACCAATCATCGGCGCCGCATCGGCGATGCCTGGTCTCTCGTGACCCGCAAGCCCGCCAAGCAGTCAGTCTTCCTCAACCTCCTCCTCTGCCTCCTCATTCTCCTCCTCCTCCTCCTCCTCCTCCTCCTCCTCCTCCTCCTCCTCCTCCTCAATTCCCCTTCAACTTCTCCTCCTCCTCCTCCGCCTCTTTCCCACCTCCTTCTCCTCCTCTCCTCATCATCCTCCCCCTCCTTCTCCTGGCTCCCACGAAGCCAGCTATCTATTCCTCCTACTCCTCCGCCCATCTCCTCCCCTCCTCCACCTACCCTCCTCCTCCTCCTCCTCATCCTCCCTCCTCCTCCTCCTCCTTTTCCTCCTCCTCTTCCCCCCTCCTGCTCCTGCTCCTCCTCCTCCACCTCCTCCTCGCCCTCCACCTCCACCTCCTCCTCCTTCATTTTCTCCTCCGCCTCGTCCTCCTCCTGGCTCTCCACGGAGCAGCTATTCTTCCTCCTCCTCCTCCTCTCCCTCCTCCTCCTCCTCCTCCTCCGCCTCCGCCTCCCTGAGGGGAAACATGGGCATTGGACGACCCCCCTCAGCGCCGAATTCCATTACGAGCGCCCGACATTCCTCGACCATGAGATCCGACGCTGCGAATAACTGCAGCATTGCGCCCGTTCTTGCACGCTGGAGGGCCCTATGCAACAGGTAACAGAAGAAAGAGCTTCGATCAACGTTGGTGTAACGTTCAAAGGGGAAACGGGGGCATTTGACGACCCCCCTGTGATAAGAAGAAAAAGTACCCCTAACCCGTTGGGAGCGGACCGAAATTCAGAGGCCCAAAGCATTTACTGTATGGCTGTTCCGCAGATGTATCAGACCAAACCACCGAGAGCTACTATCCCGAATGCAAGCACGGGGACCTAAATTAGGCTACGTCTTCATTGTGCTATGAGGGATAGGGGCTTTTTTACTCTCGATGATCGCGCTGAACTCCATCACGAGCGTCCAACATCCCCCGACCCTAAAATCCGACGTCGCGGATTAGTTGGGAGCCGAACTCTACACACCGACGCTTTTTCCGGCCCTGCACTGAAATTTTAACAGGATAACGGATCCTGGTGTATACGGGATCCTGGTGTATACATTTGTCGTGGCTTCCCGGGTAAACGGGGAACAAAGTATACACCACACCACCCCGACGTCGTCCCCGACGTTCAAGAAAACCTGGGATTGAAAACAGCCCGCCTCTGGCAATATGTATGTGTGTATATATATAGGTGCACCAGCTTCCGAATGAGCTCAGCACCGCGAAAGGCCACGACCAGAGCCCCGGACTCTAAGCCCCACCTTGCCCGCGGCACAGCTCGAGCCAGATCGACACGCGTGATGGCCCCGGGGCCCGAAACCCGGGCGGAAACACCCGGTGCGAAGCTGCCGCAGCGCATGGGACTGGCCACCTGCCAGACCACCCCAACCCAACCCGAAGACCCGAACTTCGGGTTGGGGAGGGGTACGGGCTTCATATGTGTTCTTTCCATGCTCCCCGAACCCCCCCCACTGGAAATGGAGGGCAAATCGGGGCCTTCGGGTTGGGTTGGGATGGTTTCTAGGGCTCCAAACTTCGCGCTTCGCGCTCCCGGAAGCGCGAAAAACTTCGCGCTCTCGCACCGCCCCCCCAAAGGGAGAAAAGAAGGACGAGGAGGAGGGGGAGAAGGAACGAGGACCGCGAAGCGCGAAACGCGAATAACTTCGCGCCCTCGTGGGAGCCCTTCTGGTTTGGTGGGCGGTGAGGGACGAAGAGGGGCGTCGCAGAACAGCGGGGACGGCCTGGGCACGTTGCGCTCCAGGCCCCTGTCAGTTTGTAAGGACCCCCATCGAGGCCCTCGCAGGGGGGCGCGGGAGAGTTAGAGGCGACTTCGCCCCGAGAAGGAAAGGGGAGAGGGGAGGAGGAGGAGGAGGAGGAGGAGGAGGAGGAGGAGGAGGAGGAAGAAGCAGAAAAAGCGGGGCAGGAGGAGGCGGACGGTGCTGAGGGGCCAAATTTTCGGATGTCGTGGATGCCTTCCCCCTCTCTCGTCCTCTTGCTCCTAGATCATCGCCCTAGTCGTCGTCCTGCTCCTCATTATCCCCTTCTGCGGCTTTAAAAATCAACGTCCATCGAAGAGAAACTCGCGCCTCCGTGTCGGCAACCCCATCTCCGTCGCTGTCGACGCAGAGCTTCTCCGAGCAGTGCGGGTCAAAAGGCGCCTTTGTCGGAACCGTGATTCAGCCACACCAAAAGAACTCCACACATTCCCGTGCCCTTCGCGATCCGCTTGTACCTGCACTGTATACATTCCTCAAACAGAAAACAATCGTCCTTTAGCAGCATTGATTCCGCATGGGCCATGTCACCCGATCGCACAGAGGCGCAGCTATCGTGCTGTACGGTTGGGAGCGTGCTTCAGGGTAGATCGAGCTTCCTATAGAACTGCGGCTGCTGCCTAGAACATCATACACCAACCTCGGCTCTACACGAGATGGGTGGGAGCGTGTCTCAGAGCAGATCGACCGAGCCGCGGCTACTGCCTGAAAAATCATGCATACCTATTTCGCCTTTTGAGAAGACACGGAATGGGATGGTAAGCTCTCAGCCATCAAACGAAGTGCGGTGATATCATGTAACAGCTATAGCGCCACCGATGTGGATTCACACAGATGCATCTGCATATACAAGCGTGGTGGGAAGTGAAGGCTCAGATCGCAGTAAACAGGAGAGCCCCTCAGAGGGAAATTGGATCCAGTCTCGTACTCGTGTCGCGCGTGCTGGCGAGGCGAAGCTGCGTTGGCGGGAGAGAAGAATTAACCCTCGTCTGGCTGGGGCACCGCCAAATCAAAAGACCGCCCCCGCCGGTCCCGCCAGTGTTCCGTCCGTGTCCCGTCAGTGACCTGTAGGTGTCCCGTCGGAGCTCCGTCGGTGACCCGAAGTGAGATCGATGGTGAGATCGACGGTGACGTCGATAGTGAGATCGATAGTGAAAGGGATGGTGAGATGGATTGCGAGACCGAGAGTGAGGCCGATACTGAGATGGCTAGTGAGATGGAGGAATGTGAGATCGATGTTGAGATCGATAGTGAGATCGATCCGCCACCGTGCCGGTGGGTACGGAGTGGGCGTGTCCTCGAGTCCTGGGCCCAATCCTCGAAGCCTGTCTACACTCCTGAGGAGCCTTTGAAGGGCCGCGACTCCTCGCTCTCAAATCTCCCGAGGCTTCCCGCGTGCCCCCTGGGCTTCGCCAAGTGGTGGCGCGTGAATTTTCGGGCTCTGAGGGGCCCCTCGACGGACCGAGAGGGCCCCAAGCGGCCTGCAGGACGGCCCGAGAGGGCCCCGGGACGCCCAAAGATCGGCCCAAGACGCCCAAGATGAGCTCAAGATGGCCACATAGGCTTCCAAGACGCCCCAAAAGGCCTCCAAGAGGCCCTCCAAGAGGGCCTCAAGAGGCAAAAGTCCGAGATGAGGTCTTTGATGAATGTTTGGGTTCTCGCCGTTTCGGCCCAAGGCTTTCCGACGCTCCAAGACGGCCCATGAGGCCCCCAAAACAAGACCACTCCAAAACGGCCCAAGAGGCCTCCAAGAGGGCCCCAAGACGGCCTAAGAGCGCCCCAAGACGGCCCAAGAGACGCCCAAGACAGCCCAAGAGGGCCCCACACGGCCGCAAAAGGAGCCCAAGAAAGGCAACACAAACCGAAAATCCGAGCCGTCCGCCCTAAAAGGCCCCCAGGAGGCCCCAAGAGGAGCCCAGGAGGCCCCCAAGAGACCCCAAGAGGCCCCCAAGAGGCTCAAACTATACTCCAGGCGGCCCCCCAACGGTCCCCAAGAGGCCTCCGAACTGCCTCCAAGAGGCCCCAGGCAGGCCCCCCACGAGATCCCAACGAACATCCATTAGGTTTCATGACCAAACCCAGGCACGGATGAGGGATGGGCCGAAGGCCATTAAATAGTGAGACCGAGCGACTGAGATCGATAGTAAGATCGATGAAAAACGATAGTGAGACCGATGGTAAAATCGATAGTAGGATCGATCGCGAGATCGACTGTAGGATCGATAGTGGGATCGATACTGAGATCGAGCGAGTGGGATCGAGCGAGTGAGGTCGATAGTGAAATCGATAGTGAGATCGATAATGAGATCGATTGAGTGAGACGTTGGATCCTCCCCCATCCTTCCCCGCCCCTCCTCGCCGTTCCCATCCGTCCCCTCCTCCCGATCTTCCCCATCTTCCTCCTCAATCTCTTCCACCTCCTCGTCCTCCTCCGCCTCCTCCGCCTCCATCTCCTTTTCCTCATCCATCTGTTGCTCCTCCTCCTCATCCACCACCACCACCATCACCGTGCCCTCTCTTCCCGTTACTACCACCGCTGCTGATAACGGAACTGCCCTGGACCCAAAGTCACGATTTTGTTCACAGCGTCCAACCCCAAAAGTCCCGACCTTCTCTCCGGGATTGGCATTCATCGTAAGCCGTTTGTTGACGGTCCTGGGGGCCAGCGAGGGCCCGCAAAGGTAGAACATATCAAACAACTAGGCAACAACAACAACAACAGCAGCAGCAGCAGCAACAACAACATATATCGTTTCAAGACTGTTCGCCCTTATCTGCTCGACTGTCCAATAACGCGTATGGCCCAAACCATCGATACCCGCCCTCTTCGTCTTCGATCGAAACCCTTTTGGGGGGTATACCTTTCTTCCCTGCAGGCCGGGCCCTGGCAAGCGGCGGGGCGGCCGCGGACCGTCGGCCTGGCCAGCGGCAGCGCTGCTCAGCGGGGCGGCCGCGGACCGTCGACCCGACCCCAAGAGGGACGGACAGGGCACTGGCCACGACGACGACGACGACGTCGACGACGACGGCGACGACGACGACGGCGACGACGACGACGACGAGCGAAAACAAGAGCGAGAGAGAACGACAGCAGGGCCACGAAGGACACGAAGTAGGCCACGAAGTGCGACAGCGGGGACACGAAGGGAATGCGTATGGGGCCACGAAGAGCGCGAACGAGCGGGGGCCACGGAGGGCAAATAATGCGGGGCCACAGAAGGCAACGATGGGGCCACTGAGGGTAGCAACTGGGCCGCGTAGGAAGATGAGGGGGCCACAAAAGGCGACAGCGGGGGGCCACATGGGGCCACAACGGGCGCGAACGAACGGGGGCCACGAAGGGCATACGTGTGTTGGGCCGCGGAGGGCAAGGACGGGGCCACTGAGGGCAACAACGGGGCCACGAAGGGCAGCGAGGGGGCAACGAAGGGCGACAGCGGGGCCACGAAGGGCATGCATATATGGGGCCACCACGGACGGGCGCGAACGAGCGGGGGCCACGAAGGGCATCCATATATGGGGCCACGAAGGGCAGCGAGGGGGCCACGAAGGGCTGCAACGGGGCCACGAAGGGGAGCGGGGGGGCCACGAAGGGCTTCAACGGGGCCACGAAGGGCTGCAACGGCCACGAACGGCAGCGAGGGGGCCACGAAGTGCTGCAACGGGCCCACGAAACAAAGCGAGGTGGCCACGAAGGGCTGCAACGGGGCCACGAATAGCAGCGAAGAGGCCACGAAGGGCAGCAACAGGGCCACGAAACAAAGCGAGGAGGCCACGAAGGGCTGCAACGGGGCCACAAAACAAAGCGAGGGGGCCACGAAGGGCCGCAACGGGGCCACGAAGGGCAGCGAAATCCCGATTCCTGGGTAATCTGTGAATGAGTCCTCAGCGTGAGCGCGACTCCTAGATGCCTGGGGTGTCGGGAGCGCGGCGCTTGAGCAGATTGCCAGAAAATCCAACGCAAGGGTGCTATTCGTCAGTAGGCTGCCAGCAAGTCTCCAGCGAGAGCGCGACTCCACAGCGCTGGGAGGGCGCTTCCTGAACAGATTGTAAGAAAGTCCCAAGCGAGAGCGCGATTCCTGAATAAAATGAAAGGAAGTCTCGGGCGGGAGCGGGGTCCTGGCTAAATTGAAGAGAATTATCAGGCGGAAGCCGTTGTTGTTGGAACCCGGGGGCCAAGGGCCCAGCTTGAGCATCAAGACTTTCCCTGTCACAAAAAGGGTGCGAGCGTCGAGGGGCACACTTTGATAAAGAAAAACAGTATGCACCGGTGGGAGGGGTCAACAATAATTATTATCCAGAAACGAAACTCCCACACCAACAACAACAGCAACAACAACAACAACAAAAACAACAACAACACCACCAACAACAACATCATCACCAACACCAACACCAACACAACAACACCAACAACACCAACAACACCAACAACACCAATAACACCAACAACACCAACAACACCAACACCAACACCAACACCAACAACAACAACAACGACAACAACAACGGAAAGGCGTGCACTCCGGCCCCGGTCAGGGCCGGAGCCTGCGGTGTCACTCCGCCAGTGGACGGGCGCACACTCGGGCCCCGTGGGTCGATTGGCCTGAGAAGCTGTGACGACGACTCCTCCGGCCCTGCGCGTGGCCATCTGCGGCGGTTTCACGCCGCGGTGGGCAAACGTACACTCCGGCCCCGTATGCCCCGTCATATGTGCTGTTCCCTCCACAGAAAACGCTCCCCGTGCGCTACCCCCTTCTCCTGCCCCCTTCTCCGGCCCCGTGTGCCCCAATCGTTTTCGGTCTGGATGGAAGGATGCAAGGGTTTTGTCCGATCAGCGTGCAGATTTTATCACATACGGCCTCCTACGGAAGGCAACGCGTCAGGGTCAATGTGCGCGCCGGTATCGGTCAAGCTACCCGTCAGCTACTCCAATTGCCCGCACCTTCCCGCGCACCCGGCGGATCCAGAGTGGGACGGCCTCTCTCGACGTCTTTGGATACAAGTGTATTGCAAAGGCGTTGCAGACGTATGCAACGGCGCCGCCGTTCTGAAGGCGCCACACCTGGAAGTAATGTTCAGACGGATCGTCCAGAGGTTGTTCGATCTTTCTATGTCTGGATGGCGTCCAAAACGAGATATGGATCCAATTCTGATATGGAGTCCCCGGGAATTCAACACGCCAGCGGATCATCTCGTAAAAACGGCAATGGACACAGGAACATATTGGTCTTGGATCAACCAGGGCGTCCTTAGGGCAGCAAAGGTTGGCACCGTTCGTTTGTGCGTCGATGGAGGTTTACGTAAGAAGCATCATGGCGAACACCAGGGAGGATTAGGCTGTGCAGCTTTTTGCGTTTACCGAATGGATCCTACGAGCCCTT